GACACTGAGGGTTGCGATCGGTTGCCGGTCATGAAAAAAGACAAAAAGGAAAAAAAAAAAAAGAGTGGAAGAAAAAAACATAATTTCAGACGTGAACTAGAATACAAGATGCACAAGGGATAATAGATACAAAGAAAAGCAGAATAAATCTAAAAATATAAGTTGGTCAGAAAAGGTAAACAGACTTTTGGAAGATGAGAAAGTGATATGTACAAAAGATAGGTAATGAATTTTTGATGTATATACGAGGGCACTTCAAAAAGTTCGTGGAAAGGTTCATATTATCTTTGAATTCTATTTTTCCACAAACTTTTTGATGTATCCTTGTATCCAAGTACTCTTGGATTCCCTCAAAAAGTAAAATGAAGCAATAAAACAACGAATATTTAAAATAATTCAATAAAATGTGTCTGAAATAAACATCTGAATCTGCATAGCACAGGGGCCTACAATGTGCTGTGAAATTTTACACTGATTAGTCACCACCAAGACATAACCCAATACACTGTTGGACTGTAGAATACAGACTCCATTGGCAGCCACACAGACTGAATCACTTATAAGAAAGAGTAGTAGGTTGACATTGGCCTTCTCAGCAGAATGCTCCATGCCAGGAAAGCATGGAGATACTCCAACAAAAGAGTCTTAAAATGTGAGCCATGGATATAAAGCATACATATATGTAATAACGTAGGGTTCATGTTAATCTCATAAACCCTTCCTGAGGAATGTATTAGAGGATGAACTGTATCCAGCCAAGAAATGATAGTAGAAACTTTGTCAAAAGGATTAGCAATGAACATTGACTATAATTAACTAGAGATCTAAGATTGAAAACAAAGCCGGGGATAAGGATGACAAAATAATATGTAAATGGCATATACTGTGACAATACAGAAGTTGCATACCTAAGGACAGAAAATACAGAACAAGAAGAAAGCTTTCTTACTGCTTCATAGGTCATATCTAACAAAAAGATTACCATTTTAAACTGGTAATCGATTCATGAAAATTAAGTATATTTAGAAGTACAAAGATAAAACACTAAAAACATAATACTATTAAATAGGATGGTAGAGGAGAGAGAAACAACGGGGGAGGGAGAATTTACAGGATAATTTTATTAAGGCATATGGTAGGGAACTGTCTAAAGAAGAAGGTATCATATATAGATATTGCTTGTCCATCCATTTTACTTTCTCCCATAAATCTCTCTTTTCTTCTGTATTCTTATTCTACTCCCAAATTGTCTAAAGAAGAAGGTATCATATATAGATATTGCTTGTCCATTTTACTTTCTCCCATAAATCTCTCTTTTCTTCTGTATTCTTATTCTACTCCCAAATTGTGTTCACTTCCTAGGCAAAGTGGCATAGATTTTGTTATGGTTTGTTGCTTTCTTCTAACCCATCACCTTATGCTCTTCTACAAATGGCATAGACTGCTATCTCTCAGTATTTATACTTTCCTTTTAGGGTAGACATTTTAGAGGAGTGCATGACAACCAGAAATAAAAGTGGTATTTCCCAGCCTCCCTTGAAGTCAACTGTAGCCATAGAACAAATATGGCCCAAAAGTATATGAGAAAGAGGGATGTGTTAAACATTCAGGAGGTGTTCTTAAACTGCACTTCTTGATGGTCTTGTTTTTTAAAGAAATGATGCATTTTTCCATGTTCATTCTATTGGGCAAGGGATT